AGCAGCAGTTGCAGTTGCAGTTGCAGTTGCAGTTGCAGTTGCAGTTGCAGTAGGAGTAGGAGTAGTAGTAGTAGTAGTAGTAGTAGTAGTCGTAGTAGTAGTAGTAGTAGTAGTAGTTTTAGTGGTAGTCCGCCGCCTGCCCCTCTGGAGCAGCAGTAGTAGTCCGCTGCCTGCTCCTCCACAACAGTAGTAATCGTCGGCCTGTTCCTCTAGTCCTAAGCCTGCTGGTGCTATAAACCCAGTTACGGGTGTAAAAGAACAGGCTGGCGGCCAGTGGTAGTAGTAATGTGGCGACTCTTCCGTCCGCCACAGTGTTTCGACACGCTTTAAGGGTCCGCGTTTTCTTCGGCCTCCTACTTCGCAAGGACAAGCCCGTGTGGCAGGGTTACTTCAATCCTTTGTAGGATAAGCTAGGGTTTAGGTTGATCCACATTTCGCTCTTGCCGTTGCAAGAACCTTGCAGAAGCTGGAGTTCCCGGCTGGAACGCTGACACCCAAGGACAGCCTCAGCCTGGGAGGATTTCAGAAGGGGCTCGACAGCAGTGCGATCGGTGGCAGTAGTCGACACAAGGACAGCACTGATCATTGTTGTCGCGAGTGGAGACAATGAGAATGAAAGGCAACAGCAAGAACAGTGAACACGGGGGACCTGTCAGCCATGTGAACGGCGATGGTGAAGAATGCTGATGATAACTATGACCGGCGGAGGCTTCTCATGTCTACGCACAGAGACCAGCTGCGCTGGAAATTCGGTTTTCCGAGCTCCCAAGCCGACCACTGTTGGCAATGACAGACACGACCTGACAGAAGAAGAACGGTTCGTTAAGTCAGTACGTCCCTGACTGCCTGAAAGTGTCATTGTCTCAAGATTCGTACCTTCTCCACCGTGTACCTGGTTCCACGTCGGGGGTTGCAGAAGATGATATCCACCTGCCCATAGGAGGTTCGACGACATCTTCTCAGAATCTTCGAACGGCAGGCCTCGCATGCATCTTTGCGGACGGTACCCCAAAATGCACTAGCCTCGGCGAACTCTCCGGTTTGTAAGCGAAGCGCCAAAACCCACGAAAAAGAGCACTCTGCCAAGCAATGCACATGGGCTCCAAGGCTAAAGCTTTCTGGGCATGTACTGAAGATGCACCTGATCTGCACAGTGTGGGTTTCAGCACCCGCAAAAACAAGTCTCAGTCTTCGGAGGACCTCAGGCCGGCACAGTTCATGTCGCCACCAATGTTCAGTTCGACATCCCCTCTGCCGTCATCTTTGCATACCCGATGCCAGGCTCGGACCAGGACTATTTGGCCCTGTTCGTCCTGGTATGCTGCCGTCAGCATTGCCTTCCCTCTCGAAATGTCCACAGACGGAAAACCATACAGAGTGAAACCTTTCGGAAGATGCTTGCACAACAAGCTGGAGCGAATGCAAATATCCGGCCAGTTCTTGCTGTTGCAAGATACTAGTGTCACTGACATCTCGGTCCCGGCAGTCCCCTCCCGGCACAAGCTACACAGGCGGTTACTGCTGACTCGCACGACCAAGCCGTTCACATCTTGTGCCTCAATAAGGTGGTGCACTTTGGCCAAGCCAACATCCAGAGAATGGCAGTACAAAACCACCTTTGGGAGCGCGACGAGCTCGCGCAGAGTTCCTCGACAGCGGAAGCGTGGCTCCAACGGAGTCCAGTCCGGACATGCAGACATTTCATCACCGAGAACGGCCATACAAGGATAGGTCTCTTCCCCTTCCTGCAAAAAGGTCTCCCACTTTGAAGACCATGGCGGATGGCCAAGCGCTTGCAATGTACCGCTTGCCACGGACGTTATCGTTGCACGCTCGTAGGCGGAGGGGCTGTCGCTAGGTAGTCCAGCGTTGTGGCGAAGCTCTTCGGGAGCTGGTGCAAGCCACATGCAGCAGCACCACAGCTTCTGAGTAAAGACCTCGTGAAGCCATGCCAGCTGTCGCGCCGTAGGGCTTTGTGACAAGGCACAGTCTGCCCCCGGCAACTGTATAGCATCCTCCTCCTCGGTCCTGCGCCACACCAAATCATGGTCCGGAGCGAGAACAAGGCCAGCGTCCATAGCAGCAAATGCCTTGGACCCTGCATCGGAGCACGCGAAACAGACGGCTTGCGATGAAGGCGTGCCTTCATCGGCAAAGAAGCGCTCTAGAGGACTGTTTCCTCCACCCTCTTCGCCGGTTATGGGCAGCACCTTATCAAACACAGCATCGAACCACTCCCGATTTAGAGATGTGGGTCGGTATGCCTTTGGCGCGCTGTTTCGCTTGAAAGGGCTGTTGTCCGCACTGACTTTTTCCCTCGGCGGACTTCTTTCCTCCTCTTCTACATCCTCTACCTGGGCGAGGATGAGCTTGCAGCCTTGCTCCCGCAAAGAGTGGAGCAGGGCAGGGGACGGACCACCGCAAGCATCTGCGGACTCCAGGACTGCACAATGGAAAGGCAGACTCGGCGGCAGGCCTTCCGAGGGAGAGGGCGGGTTGCTTCGATAGGCTGGTGCCTCATAACTGTGGATGGCACTTGGCTCCAGCATTTAGTGCACCATCAGCGCCACTACGGGCAACAACACGAACCAGCTGTCGACCTGCTGAGACTCTACATCTTATTTGACAACTTAACAACAGATAACATCATGCGATCCTCTGCCTGACTACGCCGAACTACGCTTGTTTGTGGGTGGAGTGAGTAAGTGGGGGGGGGGGGGGCTGATACGCCCCT